TGGGAGTTGGCGGTGCCCAGATGAGGCTCAGCTATGAAGCAATGCAAGCTGCTGTGGGGCCTTGGGCCTTCTTTTGGAAGTTCTGGGTCTCTCTGACCCAGCTATAGTTTGTTAGGTAATTTTCAGATTGCAAAGGGCCAGGCCTTCCATATGCAAAAGTCTCTGTGCATAGCTTGGGTGGGGCAGGGTCTCAAGGAATCAACAGGGCAGAGCAAGCAGCTATGGCTGATCCTCAGTCCTACCCTAAGAGGCCCCGCATCTCAGTGTCCCAGTAATCACTGCAAGGACCTCTGAGAGAAAGCCACCCTCGAGTTCTGACCAATGCCAGACAGTCCAGTTTCTCCCCGTATGAGTCTCGGTCCCCAGAGACTCGCTCAGAACTGGAGTTCAGAGCAGTCGGGAGCTTGAGACTCCCTCCCAATTGAAAAAGACAACCATGTCCTCAGTTGCCAGCCCTTTCCGCGTGCACCTCCGTACCTCTGCACTTTACTTCCGCACCTCCTCTGAGTCTCAGTGTGCTTTTCTCTTTCCTTCTAGTTGTAGCATTTCCACTCAGCCAGCCTTCCTGTGGTTCTGGATGATGTCCGTTTTGTCTTTTAGTTGTATTTTTGAAGTTGTTGTGCAAGGCAGCAATTTCCTGTGTTTACCTATGCCGCCACACTGCTTTCTGCAGTCCATCTTTCTTTGGTGGCAAAGGCTGTCCTCTCAGCGAGCTGCCACCTCCTCTCTGTGTATTCTCAGGCCCACTTCTCCCACACTCCAGGTTTTATGCGGTGTGCTTTTACCTACTGATGCTGGTCATAGTGCAAGGCTTTGGTGGGAAGGAAGCAGTAGTGAGGACACTGAAGGACACCCCGATGATGATCCACACAGGCCCCTGCTGCTGCTGCTGCCCCTGCTGCCCCAAACTCAATCTCACCAGGTAAGACGGGAGGGAGGGGAGCCCTTGAAGAACCAGTTCCAGCTTCCTGCACTCTCTCTCCCAAGAGTGTCTGCTGGTTGGTTCTCTCAGCTCTGCTTCAAACCTCTTGGAACTAGTCTTGTATGGAATGAAGTCAATGACAAAAGGGTGGGTATCCCCAGCCAGGACCCCACACATTAGGCACCCACTCAGGGGTAAGGGGAGCTGAGAAAGAACTCCGACGTTCCCATCACTTAAGCCACTGCTCCCTGCAAAGTTTAGCCACACAGAGGAAACTGGACTCCGGGCTATTGCCTCCTCTGCTCATCTGGTTAATGAGGTTGGGTTAACACTGATTGTTCTTGCTCAAAAGGCAGCATTCTGGTCTAGGAATGAGTGGGGAGCAAGAAGAAGGATTGCCAGTGCTCTTAACATTCTGGCTTCTTCCTATGTCCCCATCCATTTAACCATTGTGGTGTCTGATGGCAGCCAAGCCTCGGCCCAGGAGCCCAGTGAGGGAGAGGAGAGTTGTCTTGGGATGGGTGGTCTGTGGGCCCATGTTCCTAACCCTCTGCTTCCCTCAGGAAGAAGCTCCAGCTGCTGATGTTGGGCCCGTTCCAGTACGCCTTCCTCAGGATAACCCTGGGCCTGGTGGGCCTGTTCCTCGTCCCGGATGGCATCTTTGAGCCAGCAGATGTAAGCCAGGAGTGAGGGGCAGTGAACTCCGGGGCTCATTTGGTACCTTTGAGCTCTACAAGGAATAGCTGGAGCCAATATCCCCTGATACTGGGGACAGAGTGACCTAGAACAGAGGCGCGGGCACTCTGGTGGGAGAGAGGAGACTGGAATAAGCCAGGGCTATGGCGTTGTTATCCCCTTCAGGGAAGAAATAAAAGGGAGGGAAGGGGCTTGTCCCCCTCACTGACTCCCACTTGGTCTGCACCAGATTTCTGAGGAGAGCACAGCTCTGTGGATCAACACTGTCCTCGGGGTGTCCACCCTGTTGGCTCTCTGGAGCCTGGCCATCCTTTTCCGTCAAGCCAAGCTGCACCTGGGCGAGCAGAACATCGGGGCCAAGTTTGCTCTGTTCCAGGTAACTACACCCTGAGCGAGAAAAGAGGGCTCATAATAGAACTACAGATAATTGGGGTTCGGGGATGAGTCTAATACAGGCTCAAAGGGGTCTGGGAACCTCCTTGAGCCTTAGGTTCCTGTGAGATTTGGAAAGTGATCCCTGCCCCTCCCCAGATTTTGCTGTTTGTGCTATTTTTGCTTTGTGTTTGCTAGGGCTGCTGTGATAAAATACCACCGAGTGGCTCAAAACAACGGAAACTTATTCTCTCACAGTTCTGGAGGCTTTAAGTACAAAATCAACATGTCAGCTGGGCTGTCCTCCCTCTGAAACCTATAGGGGAGAACCCTTCCTTCCTCCTCCCGGCTCCTGGAGGTTTGCCAGCAATCTAGGCCTTCCTCAACTTGCAGCTGCCTCACCCTACTTCTGCCTCAGTCATCACATGGCCTTCTTCCCTCACGCATCTGTTTCTTTGCCTCTTCTTATAAGGATATCAGTCATATGAGAATAATGCCCTAGCACCATGGTCAGCAAACTGCGGCTCGCAAGCCACATGTGGCTCTTTGGCCCCTTGAGTGTGGCTCTTCCTAAGCCTTAGGAGTAACCTAATTAAGTTAATAACAATGTACCTACCTATATAGTTTAAGTTAAAAAAATTTGGCTCTCAAAAGAAATTTCAATCGTCGTACTGTTTATATTTGGTTCTGTTGACTAATGAGTTTGCTGACCACTGCCCTAGCAGGTTTGGCTCAGTGGATAGAGCGTCGGCCTGTGGACTAAAGGGTTCTGGGTTTGATTCCCGTCAAGGGCACATGCCCAGATTGCGGGCTCGATCCCCAGTATGGGGCATGCAGGAGGCAGCCGATCAATGATCCTCTCTCATCATTGATGTTTCTATCTCTCTCTCCCTCTTCCTTCCTCTCTGAAATCAATAAAAATATATTTTTTAAAAAGGATAAGGCCCCACCCTACTCCGGTATGACTTCATCTTAATTAATGACATATAATTAGTTAACCAAAACAAAGATGCTGTTTTGTTTGTTTTGTTTTTTTTAATATATTTTATTGATTTTTAACAGTGAGGAAGGGAAGGAGATAGAGAGCCAGAAACATCGATGAGAGAGAAACATCCATCAGCTGCCTCCTGCACACCTCCCACTGGGGATGTGCCCGCAACCCATGTACATGCCCTTGACCGGAATCGAACCCGGGACCCTTCAGTCCGCAGGCCCACGCTCTATCCACCGAGCCAAACCGGTTTCGGCCAAAGATGCTGTTTTGAAATAGATCATATTCTGAGGTACTGGGGGTTAGGACTTCAACATATCTCTTTTGGGGGCACAATTCAACCCATAACCTTAACTGCTTCTGTCTATGCTTTTTTTCTTTTCTATGATTATTCCTAAAATCCTATCATCCATTACCACTAGCAGTATGAGCATTATCTCAGCTACGACTATGAACTACTCACACCATGTGCTAGGCACTTTTCATACAGTACTTTAAAAAAAAAAATCCCCACCCAAAGATATGTTGAGAGAGAGAGAGGAAGGGGTGGGGAGGGAGAGAACCATCAATGTGAGAGAGAAATATTGATTGGTTGCCTCCCGTATGCACAACTGGGGATCAAACCCACAACCTAGGTTTGTGCCCTGACCAGGAATCAAACCCACAACCTTTTGGAATGTGGGACAATGCTCCAACCACCTGGCCATGGCTTTGTACATTACATTTAAATATTCACAATAATCTTAGGAGTCATTATTATTTTTATTTTACAAATAAGAAAACTGAGACCCAGAGATGCCATGAGACTTGCTCCAAGGCACACAGGAGTGCAGCTAGAATTTAAACCCAGATCTGTCTAACTCCCAACCCGCACTCCTTCTCTTCACACTGCCTCTCATCATCACACCTCTTCTGAGAGTTCTCTCAAAAGCATGTTGTTCGCTTTTTACACTTTTCATTCTCCAAGTCCAAGTCCAAGTCCAAAGACAACTTTTCCACCAAATGCAATATTGTGTTTTCCTTCTCCATTCTTTCTGTCTCCTTGCTGGGCCCTTCTCCTACTTCCAAGAAACAATAACTGCGTTTTAGCTAACAGAGTGGTTTCACATAAATTCTCATTTGCTCTAAGCAGATGCCTCTGAAATGTGAATTTCCAGGCATATAGCAGGTAGAATTGAAGCGGGTAGGGGAAGAAAGAGATGAGCCTGAAATGGGGTCAGGGGCTGAGGGGCAGAAGCCCTTAGGGCCAGGCACAGGTAAAAGCCTGTCAGTGCTGAGCCTGTGGGGAAGCCTGGACAAGCTGGGTCTGCCTTGCCTCGGGGGGACCAGTACTAAGGCAAATAGTACTCCTGGGGCCTCTGGATAGAGATTATTTTCTTCTTCTTCTATTTTATTGTGTTATAACATATATATGACATAAATTTTACAGTTTTAACCATTTATATGTGTACAGCCCAGCAGCATTAAGTGCAGCCACATTGTTGTGCAACCATTGCCACCATCCATCCCCTGAAGGTTTGCATCTTCCCCACGGAGAGTCTGTACCCATTGCACACCCATTCCCCTTCACCTCCAGCCCTGGCACAGCAGAGATTCTTCAAAGGGCATTTTAATAGTGAACATTCTGTTGGCAGGGATCTCAGGCACTTGAAGTAGATGGACTGACTCTTCCCTAATCATTCATCCTTTTTATTCTTTAAGTGCTCATTAGCAGCCATGGCTGAAATAAGGGAATAAACTTGAACACCACCACTCCCAATCAGTTTTTGTTGTTTCTTGTCAGGAACTCTAATAAAACATTGGGTAGGAAGATGAGGTTGTAATTTTTCTAAAGATTACAAATGTCACCACATTTTAATCAACGCTCTGGAACTGCAGGGATCTAAAGGCTGGTTGAGCGCACAGCGGCAGGACAAGCATGGCAGTGGGCCTGCTGACCTCAGCGCCATGGACACTGAGCCCACTCTGCCCTCGCTTCTCTTTTCCCTTCTGCAGGTGCTCCTCATCCTGACCGCCCTGCAGCCATCCATCTTCTCAGTGTTGGCCAATGGCGGGCAGATTGCTTGTTCGCCTCCCTTTTCCTCTAAAATCAGGTCTCAAGGTGAGCACATAAAGGTTCCTATCTCTTTCCAGGATGGGTGAGAGGAGGCGGGTCAGGGAAGAGAGGACCTTAGATCAGAGGTTGGGCCAGGCAAGCTGCTGCTCCGAATACTCAGAAAGGGCTCTCCAAAGATCTCCGCAGAGATTTAAGGAGACTGCGCCTTCTCTGATCACACAGAGGAGGGCTACAGTTGCACAGCTTGAGGCCAGCCTTGACGGCCAACCAAGAAAGCCATGGGTTCATCCTCAGCTCTTGGGAGAGGAATGGGTGTGGTTGGGAAGCAGAGATCATGCTGTTAAAACACACAAAAGAAATGAGTTTTAATGCTAGCCTCAGGTTGCAGAAGGTTGAGAGCCAAGTTCTGGTTTGGGCTTTACTATTAACCTGCTGTGTTACTCACGACAGCTTCTAGGTCAGGGATGGCGAACCTTTTGAGCTCGGCGTGTCAGCATTTTGAAAAACCCTAACTTAACTCTGGTGCCGTGTCACATACAGAAATTTTTTGATATTTGCAACCATAGTAAAACAAAGATTTATATTTTTGATATTTATTTTATATATTTAAATGCCATTTAACAAAGAAAAATCAACCAAAAAAATGAGTTGTAGATGGACACGCATGTCATAGATTCGCCATCACTGCCCTAGGTGCTGGTGTGAGGAGAAATTACAGAAAGTGTTGTCCATACCACCGCTATAATTTAGTATAACCAACTTTACATTCCACCCCGCACTGCAGTGATGAATTGCCACCTCTTGATACTGGAGACTTTCCTGGTGACTGTGCTGACACGGATATACTACAGAAGGAAAGACGACAAGGTTGGATATGAACCTTTCCCTTCTCCAGACCTGGATTCGAACCTCAAAGCCTGAGGTGGACGGCTTGGATAATGAGACACTGTACTCATGAGATGGGCACACGATTTCTTCACTGTCCCGCAACATTGACCACATGGGGAAGGATTCCATTGTCAGTACCAGCTGGCAAATTACACTGGACTATACAGATGAAGGTGAATCATGCAATAGGATGAGATTGTTTTGGGTCTTGCCTGGAGAAGGTAATTTAGTTTCATATTAGACAAACAGAATGGAGTTTGAAACTCTATAATCGGGCACATTACCCCCATGGGTGCCACGATTAGCCCTTAAAACTTGCATATTGGTAAAGCTTACGGTATAAGAATGAGAGAACTCAGTTAGGCAAAGTAGGATAAGCCCACAGTTTTGAAGAAAGCAGGCCCCTGAAGAATAGATCAAAGGTGTTCTTTTCCTTACCGATGTGTCGTTAGAGCACTGAGGACATTAGACCTGGGAGAGCTGGGTCAGCCTCCCTTTGTGGGACAATGGCTTTTTAAGTCTTCTGTGACAAGCTGCAAAAGGAATCCCCCTATCATATGGTCAGGAGGCTTGACTTTGAGGAGATAAATTAGGATGCAAAAGCAAAGGAATTGAGAGTATAAGTAAAAGCCCCAAATATGCCCGGCCAGTGTGGCTCAGTGGTTGAGTGTCAACCTATGAACCAGGAGGTCACGGTTCTATTCTCGGTCAGGGCACATATCCGGGTTGTGGGCTCAATCCCCATTTTGGACCATTTGCAACAGCATGGATGGAACTGGAGAGCATTATGCTAAGTGAAGTAATCCAGTCAGTAAAAGAAAAATATCACATGATCTCACTCATTTATAGATAATAAAGATCTTTACAAACTGATGAACAAAAATAGATACAGAGGCAGAGCAGCATTAAACAGACTGTCAAACGACAGCGGGAAGGCTGGGGAGAGTTGGGGGCGGGTAAGAGATCAACCGAAGGACTTGTATGCATGTATATAAGCATAACTAATGGACATAAGACACTGGAGGGTAGGGGAGGCCAGGGGATTGTCACAGGGGGGGGGGGGGGACACATATGTAATCCCTTTGTAATACTTTAAGCAATTAAAAAAAAGCCCCAAATACATAAAATGTATCATACACATGTATATCAGGTCAAAAACACAGAAAATAAAACATTAGGTAAAACCATTTTGCTTTTATTTGGCTAAATGACAAAAGCCAGAATAACTCTGAACAAATTAATGATACTCAGACAGGAAAACAATATACTGGACACTAGTGGAGGAAAACATTCCCGCAGACGTCGGCACTGGTGATAGGGTTAACTTTCATGCCGAGGCCAGCATTTCTTTCCAAGACTCTGTCTTCCCCACCCCCCACACCCAGGTTCCTCAATACAAATAATCCAACCAACCAATTCTCTGTGTTCAAAACAGTCAAGTGCTTCCAAAAAAGGGTGGGAAATCCTATTCAAACCTAAAGAAACACCACCCGAGTCATCCTCAGTGTTAAACCTCGCACTTTTGTTTTCTACCCAATCTGAGTACTAATATATAAATTTGGCAGACAGAAAATCTTTCTTCTTTTAAAGAAAATTAACATCTAATAGCATAATCCAAAGAACATGTTCTACTTATTTGGAAAAATAGAGGCCAGGGACTACTCTCTATCCCATGACAATCTATTCTATGAGAGAAAACAAAAACAATCATCGTATGACTTTGAAAAATATAACCTTCAAAAATACTTATATTGGTAAGCTTCAAAAAAATACCATTAGTTAAAAACATTAAGGGAGTTTTTCTTTTGTTTTTCCTATATGTATTGGTAAGAGTGTGTGCTGACAGAAAAGGTAGCAGCTATGGCTTTTAGGGAATTAAAGAAAAGCAGTGAAGTATAATTGATTTGGAAAGACTTTAAATATGGGATCTGGAACAGGATTAAAAAGGCAATGAGCTCCAGAAAATCAAAAGCTACCCACAAATCAAGAGAATACAGGCACAGAGCAACAAAAGCACTGTGAAGGGCTGCTGTAGAGGGAATACCCAGAGGCTGCCTGACCAGCTGTGTGGTCACAAGTAAAATTTAAAAAATGCAGCTCAGGAGCTGCCCAAGAAGTTATCAGCAATCAGAAAAGGTCAAAAATTCTCTTGACCTCATTCATATTTCTTCTCCTCTTCTAGATTTTCAACTTCCTCACATCCCCGACTTTCTTACCCAAACCTCAGCAAAATAATGGCCTTTGACTCTGGCTGTCAGAAGCAACTATAGCAGTAAACACATCCATTCCAATTCCTCTGAAGTTTCAAGTGCTACTGAGTCTAGTATATGCAGAGAGCAATCTTTCTGCCCAGCCCATCTCAAGGAAACTGCTGAAATGGCGCCTCCTTAGCACTGACAGGACTTCCTTCTCCATTCTCTTTGTGTCTTGCACACAGGCCCTGGTGCCATCCAACTTTGAAGGCTCTCCCATCTCTGCCTCATTTGGCCTATTCAGGCTGACAGCTCCACAACCTCAAACATTAATGTTAGAAGATTTTCAAGTCACTGGTATGGTTGTGGTGTGCCAACACCACATTTAATTAGGCACAAATGATCAAATAATGCATCATACCAACAGTTACTTCCACCCACCCATTTTTATCCGGCACCTAGGGTCACATTTATCTCAAAGCAGCTAACATGCCACACCTTAAATGTTTTTGCTTTCAGGCAAAAGTACTTGAAGATATACTAGTGTTGGGAGACTGAAGCTGTAGTGTAGAGGCTCACCAAAACGGGCAAGGGAGTTTTCCAAGAACTAGTGTACATGCTGGCCTTAGCCATCTCACAGAGCTTATCGGCCTGGAGGTCAGATCACAAGGGTCAGCATGCCAAAAGCAGCCCATTGACAGAGCAGAGGAGGAGGGCCCAAAGATTTGAGACCCAGATAACGTACTTGAGAGGAGTGACTACAGGGAGGAAAACCACACTCTGGGCATCTCCCTTTCCAAATACACTGGATAAGTTGTGTACTTTAAGGGAACAGTGTGGGCTTCCGTGCTGACTTCATTGCCTTTCTATACCTGGGAGAGTAAGACTGAAATAGACAGAATTCCCAAAGAAGGCAGAAAAGTTATGAAACTGAGTAATGTAGGCCAAGATTAATTTCACCTTTAAAAAGAAAAGGATTCTGCCCTGACCGGTTTGGCTCAGCGGATAGAGCGTCAGCCTGCGGACTCAGGGGTCCCGGGTTCGATTCTGGCCAGGGGCATGTACCTTGGTTGTGGGTACATCCCCAGTGGGGATTGTGCAGGAGGCAGCTGATTGATGTTTCTAGCTCTCTGTCCCTTCCTCTCTGTGGGAAAATCAATAAAATATATTTTTTAAAAAAAAGGATTCCAAGCCGAAGCTCATGTAAACCAGATTTGATAGTAAAAATAGCACTTCATGAGAAGAGTTAGAAATGCAGTTTTCATAAGCCATCAGGACAAGAGGTTCCCCGCCTTTGTCCCTCTACTCTGCCATGCTCTGCCACTAGGTGATCTGAGTTTTCAGAACCTAGGTAGTCCTGGTGTGCAGGCAGGCAGGTTTTACCAGAAAGGGAGATGTCTATGAGATGCTCACAGCCCTAGCAGAGGAGCAAGAAAAGATAAAATGTGGTTTTCTTAGCTGAAAACACTAAAACTCCACCCCCACAAGGGGTATTTATGAGTGACGGGATGGGGCCTGGACATAAGCAGTCTTCCCCTGGACACAGCTACAAGATTCCTGATGGATGATGGTCTGAGTCACGCGGCTGTAGGCTGCTGGAGGTGTAAGACAAGCTCAAGTTCAATAGCAAGTGTGAAGCTTCAGCATTCTCTGAGGTGAAATTTAAGGGATGATCCCACTGCCGACCACGTCAGGCACATGTGGGGGAGAGAGAGAACCTACCATATCTTAGTAATGTGAGCCCTTGCTTTGTGCCTCGCTGGAGGGGCCCTGGAAGAAAGAAAGTCCCTGCCAGCTGCCACTCTCAGAGGAAAGCAAACACCGTGTGGAGCACTGGTTCCAGTCAAGAACATTCTTAAGAGGGGCAGAGTTCAAAATAGGAAGGTGGGTATTTCCTTATGCGGTCGTGTCCATGGTCTATGCAAATCTCTATCCAATATGGCTGTGAGCAGCATGGATTAACAAATCATGTTCAGATTACAGACATTCACAAAGTATCCTTTGTAAAAAGCTAGGTTAAGCATAGAAATAGGAGTAGCAGGGCCAGGGACTTACTCTGGGGGGAAAATGAATCTAAACTGACTGTGTAGGACTGAGTATTGTCCCACCCCCTCCACAATCACAGTAACCCTGAAAGTGTTCCTTCCTTTAGCGGTAGATTACAGGGAAGAGACTGACAAGAGCTCCCAAGTAACGGGCCGGGCCGCAGAGTCTTCTGAGATGAATACAGCGGAAAAGCCGCAGCTGATGCCATGTGCTCTGGTTCCAATCCCATCAGTGTCTTCATGGACCCCAGTGGGTCCAACAAGAAACTCCTCAGGGAGTAAGTTTGGCTTAGACCTCCTTCTCCCACAGCCACATTGACACATGTGCCAGCAGTTCCGTTAGGTATTTGTAACTATTACCCGGCTTTTAGCATTTTTTCAAGGAAATAAAAATTATATTCCACCCCCCACCCCAAAATCACCCATCAGCATGGCTTATTGCTTGAACTATTTGGCAAGCCAGTTTGCCTCAGAACAGAAGGCAAACACTTATAGTGTTATTGGGAAGAAAAGGCCTCTGGGTATTAACACCACCTCTTTCTGCCCACTCCTCGGGGGCAAATAAAAAAAATAATTAGTTCTATTTACTATATTTTAAAGATTAATTTTTAAAAATTAATAAAAATGGTAATTTCCCTGTCAAGATCATATGAACATAAACAGTAAAGCAAAGTCAAAGAGGAGGGTATATGGATGCAGAAAAGGCCTCTAGGGTGTAGTCAGCCTCCTTCTTGGGTGGGGGATGTCTCTTGGAGAATGGGCTGTCTGGTCCCCCCCGTCTGAGGTCCTCTGGCCCAATTGTCTTTCCTTTGTAGCCGTCCTTAGGTTTATTGTTGGGATCACAATTTGGAATTCAACAGAGCTTTTGAAGGTGATGGGACAAAGGGAGGGGAGAGGAAAGGAGGGCTGAAAAATTAGTCTTCTTCATCTTCACTGATATCATAGGCTGCAGCCTTGTGCCTGGAGAAGTTTGCTGGAGAGGAAGAAGGGGAAGTCTTGCCAGAGAAGGGCCATCGGAAAGAGGGGGAGGGGGAGCGTTCACGAGTGGGGCTGCTGCTGGGACTCTGCTTTGGGCTGATGGCCTGCAGCATCCGGCCTTTCCCTTCTTTCAGCATATGTTTCTGGGGAGACCAAAAGGAAGAGTCAGAAGAAACCCGTGGATCCTACTAAGTCACCACTGGCATGTCTGAGACTTCACATGATCACGAGTGCCCTCTGCAATGTCAAAAGTCACTATATTTCTAAGTAATTTTTTGTCTAAAGTGGTCTATGTTATACAGCTTATCTAAAGTTTGTATCTAGTCACCTAATCCTGACTTCTATGTCAAAGGAATTCTCAAAAGCCTACTTGGCTTGTAGTCCAGGCTCCAGGCACAAACAAAGGAATTAACACAGACAAAAAGGTATCTTCCTGAGTATTAGAGTTCTCTGAAAAGGAAATTCCATATTTTCCCTGAATAATCTATTTTGGTATCCAAACACTCTCACAACCAGATCCTTCCTGACATCTAACCGAGGGCTCACTTGCTGAATGGCTACACACACTCCCTTTATTTGGCTTGAAGAAACCTGGCTATTCCTCAAGGACAGAATCCCCACCTCACCCAGCGATCCTGAGGCAGCTGTTGATTAGTGGAGGCAGCTTTCTTATTGTTCTTTGTTCTTTCCTTTCCTTCTATCTAAAACTATAGTGTTGAAGTGGGCAAGGCTACTTACTTATCTTGTCACCAGATTTGGATGTTGATAGACAGCTGGCAAAATTATTTAGGAGAATATGTAATCTCTTTCTGTAAAGATTTGAAAGAACTTTGGGGGAATAGTTGAAATATAGTTCTGCCCAATAAGAGGAACAGATTAGATAACTTCTGAATGTGGATGTCCCTTTCTGCTCAAGGATTTTATAATTTTTTCCATCGCATGAGAATTCCCTACATATTCCTAAAATTCCCTAAATTATCCAGCTGGAAAAAACATACCAGTGCTCCTTCTGGACCAAACATTTCCAGGAAATTTCCAATGAATTCTCGGGATTTCTCCTCCCATTTCTGAATGAGGTCAATGCTTTTTTCCTCTACTTTCTGAACAAATTCTTTTGACTTTTCTTCCACATCTTTCACTTTCTTCTTTACTTTGTCAACTCGTTCCTGCAAATGGTATTTCTTCTCCTAGATAAAGAAAGAACTGTTTTAAGAAATAATACCCACTCTGACCTTTCATACCAAAGGGAGGAAAGAAACATGGTTCATCACTCTATTGACATTCTTTTCAGTCTTTAGAATTTCACTTTGCTTAATCTACTCCACACTTCTCTAGCATAACAAGTAAGATATGCTCTGGATGGTCATTTTATACAAAAAATGTGATAATTCTAACATCATGGGAATCCAAACTAAACTAAATACATAGGGTAGGCCCAGTAACATGTATGCAACCAAATGAAGTAACATTTTTAAAGATAAAACATAGACTTAGAACATAAACATGCCCAACATAACCCAAACCACATTCTAGATGGAGATGTAAAGGGAACCAGATCACTGAAGAATATAGCCAAGAATAAGTCACTATAATAGGTTGAAAGTGGAAGTAGTAGATCTTCACTTAGTTCATTTTGTATTGGATTTTTCTCCTCTACCACTGGCTTATTCTATGATTTTAAAAGAGTTGTTTTTAGTTTTTGGAGGCCTGCTTGCTCATTCACAAAATAGAGATGATACTCTTTGGTCCTACCAACTTCCCTAAGGAAGGGAAATGGGGAGGAGGAATCTTCAGTCAAATGAAAAATATTCTCATAATTTCCCAATCAAAGAGGAGTAAGGAAATATGTTTAAATTTTTAAACACCTGAAAAAAGAGAAAAGGTTCTGTAGTAGGCGGTTCACAATAGCTAGGGTTTATCTGTATAGATAAATCATATTCAGATGAAACCATTTCACCTAGTCATAATTCACAGAATGAGGAACAGGTAAGGAAGCTTGGTAAGCTACTAATGTAGAAGATATAGTTAGCAGCTTTCTTTTTACATAAACTTTAATAGAGATATAATTTATATACACAAAATTTATAGCAGTTTGTTGCTAAATGATAATATTAAGCTAAGGTAAACTTTGCTTCTATAAATCAAATTTAAAACTTAGGTCTATATGTCCTGAGAAATGGCATGCAAAATGTGTGTCACTACCCACACAGGGAGAGGATCCATAGCTTTTCCAGATTTTCAAAAGGACATCAAATAAATAAAAAAGCTAAGAACCACTTCTAATGTATTTGATATACATGTTAGACTTTAAAGTTGCAAATTCTCATTTATTGAATTGGCTGTGTGTCTTTATATCAATGTATTAATACTAGACCATGAAGGCAGAAAGTGCCTCTGTTTTATATTTGTAAAGAGCTCAGCATAGTGTTATCTGCAAGAATTCGATGAGCTTTTGGAGGAAATAACTATAGCAAACTGAAAAGTAAGTTCAGCTCAGATGAAGTAGGGGGCAATGTGTGTCTTACAGGGCCAGGGAACTCTGGGATGAGGTTGGAACTCACGTTGATAAAGCTGACATTGAGCTCCTTTGCCGTGTAGCCCCTCTGTAGGTTCCGTCTGGCATACACATCATAGTCCCGGACAATTCGGGTGATGATGTCTGATGTAGAGATACCTTCTGTCCTCTGTGTTGGAGCAAACATGCCTAACCCCAAAACACATACAAACACTGTGACATTCCGGTTAGCTCAGGCAGCAGGACTAGATGGAAACTGGGAGCAACATTCCTTTCCTTTCCTATTACTAAGGGAAGTCTGGAGATACTGACATACAGAAGGAGGAATGAATCAAAGGAAAGGAGTTAAGGAAAGGAAGGGCTATATGGCCCTAATATTAAGAAAAAGATGGGGCTGGAGAAATTCCTGAAATTAAGAGAGATATCAATAGTAGATGTTTAGTCTGAGAACTGATGGGTCTCAGTGCTATGCTCGCCTTATCCTCTTATCCAAAGTGTGGCCTGAAAGTGGATGTTGAATTTCTCAGGGTATAAACTTTTCTCTGTGGAGTAGTCATGTGGCTGAATCTCTGTCACTGCCCCTGAGACTGTACACATCACAGTGAGAATATGCAATCAGCTTACTCACCTGCTTCCTTAATGTGCTTATAAACATCATCACTTCCTGCGGAAGAATAAGGGATGTCATCATGGGCCACAAAATCAATCTGAAAATAAGGAAACATCATTTATAACCCAGATACCTGCTATGCAGAAAAAACCAGTACAAACTCTCAGGCTCAGAAAAAGGACAAAAAGGGGAGGCCATGCCTCAAATGGACATTTTCTGTTTTATTTTTAGAGAGAAAGGAAAAGAGAGAGAAAGAGAAAAACATCAATCAGCTGTCTACTGCATACCCACTACTGGGGATTGAGCCCGCAACCCCGGGCATGTGCCCTGACTGGGAACTGAACTGGCAATCTCTTGGTGCATGGGCCAAAGCTCAATCACTGAGCCACACTGGCCAGGGCTGGACATTTTCTCTTTCTCATTGTTTTACTCATTAATTCCGTGATTCATTCATAAGCCACTCAACCTAATTATTTATGGATCATAAATATGAAGTCAGCAAGTTTCTCTTTTCAGCTCTTTCTCCTGGTGTACTAGAGGTGCTACCTTCACACTGTATACCAGTCACCATGCTTGGAAATTGGGCTGGGTGTGCTAGTGTATGACAGCGAGGAAAGAAGAAGGACATATCATCCTCCTAGGCCTGTAAGAATTCATCAAATAAAGTTTCTGGAAGCCTAAGAAAGAGGTTATTTGTAAACTGGTTTCTCTCTCAAACTAGGAGAGGAGTGGGAATATAAAAATAGCAACCAAGAACCCTTTTATTAGAATAGACACATCTGTACTCCTGAGAAATGGAAAATCCAAAGACATAAAAGATCTTTAGGTCTCAGGATCTACCATTTTACTAGTGTCAATACCTCTTGCAACAGTGAAGAGACCACTGGCACTGGATCAATAATCTTTCTGAAAAATATGCTAAACCTCACTTACTTACTCCTTCCTGAAGAGGCCATAGACCCTTTGCTAATGTAATTGCTAATACCACCACACCCAACTCCCAGAAGCCACTGTGGTGTGAAATGTGCTCATCAGGACTGTGTCAGAAATTCTCAGCTAACATCTCAATTACCCATAAATACACTGCTAACAAGAAGAAAAGCAAAATGGAAGTTCCTCTAACCTCTTCTGCCTGGGCCTGCTTGGCTGTGTTTCTGAGAATAATCTTGCCTTTGGTACCACTAGGTGCTGCTGTAGAAAAGCTAGAGAACTGTAAAAGGTGTGTCCTAATCCCAAAGGGTTTTAACAAATATACCTTAGCTTCAGGCCTATCCTTCAAAAGTATTGCTTTTGAAGCACTTTGGCTGCCTCTGTTCCTTTCTGTTTCATTGAACAATTCACCTCAACATTCCACACACCCCTGTAGAAAACTGACCATATGCTGCGGGTTTCTCAGGCTTGAGGGCCTCCAACCTGACCTGATAAATCCTCTTATCTTTTGTAACTACCTTTTACAGGTAACCTGTTGCTTTAATGTGGGATTATTAAAAGGAGGTAAGGGGCTTTATAATACTAACTTGCTGAACAATAGTGAGAAATCTCCCTGATTTCTGATTGCACACAACTTCTAGCCCAAAATCAAAGCCCTGAAACTAAATTTTATTCAACACAAGAGTAGTCTGTGTCTATCTGTCTTATTTCCTGGAATGTGAGGAAAGAGTAGCTGGGGCTATGTCTATTCTAAAGAGAGTGTATGCTATGAGGATAGACAACTATGGTGGGTGGTGGTGGGTGGGGATCACCTACCTGAAGCAGTCAATTTCTACAGTGCGACCTGCTACAGTGTGATCTGGACCAGATTATTTAGTCTTCCTGGCCTTGTTCTCATATAATAATTACCCAACAGGATTGTTATGGGGAGAAAATGAAATATAATGTATCTAAAAGTGCTTATAAGCCATCCAACCCCATATAAATGTCAGGGATGACTATTAGTAGTAGTTATATCATTGTCATCTCCTCATTGTGAAATTTACATAGAAGGTAGAAGTAAAATAAGGCTATTGGAAAATTAGTCCAAGTACCAGCAGCCCGAAGAGTTGAAGAAATTCCAGAATGGGGAAAGGGGGCAGTGCTCAGTTTCTCACCCGGTGCTCTGCCAGGAACTCCGGTGTCAGGGTCCAGGGGGCATTCCTCACCACCTCATCCACGTAGCGGCAGTGCTGCACTGCATCGTAGCGCTCACTCTCGTTCATCACTGTGAAGCCTTTGAAGTTGTGCGTTAGCTCATCACTGCAAACTGAGTTCACGACATCATGGAGTTAAGTCAAAGCCCCCTTCGCTTTACCGCTGCTCAGTCACCAGCCTCTCCCATCCCCTGGAGCTGTAACATTTTCCCCACCTGGAGACAAATCTGCATGGTAGCTCAGTCTGGGTGACTGCTTTCCCTAATCCAAGATACACCTTCAGGAGCAACGCTCACTAAATAGTACGTTCACACTTTGGAGAAGAGAGGCTCCAACAGGCTTTGAAATAAACCTGTCATGCATTTCTGCATGAGTTAAGTTTTATAAGATGTTTTCCTATTATATTTTTATAAGACTGGACTGGGCCATATGAAATTTGTTAAACTAAATTTTGTAATTCAGTCGATTCAAAATCATAAACTGAAATCCAGAGTGAATGTCATTCTCAAATAGGCAACAGGGGTCTCCTGTGACTACAGAAATTCAGCTAAAAACAGTGAGATAAACACTGGACATCTCAGGTCACTGAGTTTGGAAGTTCTCTCTCCAGGTTCGTATGCATCATGTTTTAGAGAGGTTGTACTAGATCCTTCATTTAAAAACCAAAACAAGACCCAATATACTCAGGTTATAAAGGTAGAAGAAAAGGACTACTATAATTTTTTTTCTGGGCAGCACCTAAAGTCATCAGATGTTTTCTTACCTCCCACAATGAGGTATGTATTAGGGAAAAGGTTCTTTGCTTGCATCAGAGCCCGGGCATGACCAGAATGAAATAAGTCAAATATTCCATCTGCATAAACTCTCACAGGTCGCTCACCTAAATCCAAAAGAAAATTTATCACAAAAATACACTGATTCAATACCTCATTCGACAAATGGAAAAGGCACTGTGTGACTATTCCATCCCAGCATACACCTCTCCTAATGTGTTGTGAGGAGTAACATCACAGACGTCGTTGGCGACAAAGACCTTCTGACGTCATGTCCATGAACTCTGTTAGTGTGGTTATATCAAACTGCTTAGGCAATGGATTTCATGATTAACTTTTCTTATTTTTAGATGTGAAAAGGAAGAGTTATACAACAGGTAAGTCCAAAACTTCAAAATCCTCACCTTCAGTTCAGGTTTAAACTTCAGTTACATATGAACAAAATAATATAATTTGGCTGCTTGCTCTCTCATTTTCAAGCTGCCTTGAATACTAATGACTAATGCTTTGCTTTGAAAATAAGCCTCCATACTATTACCCAGAAAGGTGAGATTAAGAAAGATGGAAGGTAAGTACCAGGTATCAATTTATTGCCCCTTAGTCCCAGATTCACCCTCAATACCTGCTCTGGGATAACAGATGGAATTCCTTCAAGCATTTCTCCTTGACAGTGAGCATGATGTTACACTTTCTCAATAGAGGGTAATATACCAAGTATTTGAAAATCAACTATATAAATATTCTTCTCTCCATTAGTGAGAATAATAAAGAACTGATTGTCAATGTTTTGTGTGTGGTAGTGGACTATGAAAGAAAAACCACAAGACTAATCCAAATCCAAATAAACACATAGAGAGTAAATTGACATAATGGTTCATCATGCTTCAAATGATAACTCTGACGAGTCCCAGTACCATATTCCTACTATGTGAATAGAGGAAAAGCTACTTCACGGTAGCAGCAGAATATAACAGTAGGAGTGTCTATATCACTCTGGGAAAGAAGAGCCAGAGTCTCATCAGATATACTGAAGGCGAGGATCAGATACCTGTCTCTCCTGCCTTCTGACTCAAAACCCTGAATCAAGGGGGAGGAAACTGGAAGCTTATGGACTTTTCTTTCCAGATAGGTTTATCCATAAACAAGTAGCTTTTAAACTGAGAAATTATATATTGCTGATAGAAATATAAATTAATACAACTTAAGATGGGCAATTAGGCAATATATATCAAAAGTCAAATGACAAATGCTAATACCGTTTGGCACAGCTATTCCAATTCTAGGAATGTATCTCACAGATATTTATGTAAAAGTGTATATCATTCATTGCAGCATTGTTTGTAATAGCAAAAAGTTTAGAAAAAAAAACTAAGTTTTGCCCTAGCTGGTTTGGCTCAATGGATAAAGCTTCGGCCTGCGGACTGAAGGGTCCCAGGTTCGATTCCAGCCAAGGGCACATGCCTGGGTTGTGGGCTCAACCCCCAGTAGTGTGTGTGCAGGAGGCAGTCGATCAGTGATTCTCTCTCACTCTGAAATCAATAAAAATATATTTATAAAAAAACAAAAAACTATCATAAAAAAAAGAAACAACCTAAGTTTCAATGAAAGGCTGAATATACCACGCCACACTAAAAGGGTAGGAGGATTTATAGATTATGTGTTTATATATCCACAAAAATTGGTAAAACTGGTTGCCCATAAAAGGGATACTGGGCAATCTGTTGGGGACAAAATAGATTTGGTGATAGGTATCTGAGAGAATATATCAAAAGAAACAATAAATTGAAATGCAGGTCTTTTGGGCCTAAAGGAGAACATCTTGTTTGTTAGCTAGCAGTAGTGCAAGGACTGTTAATTTGTCATTCAAATCAGGACCATTTTGAGAATTAAAGGGTTCGTGCTTAATAATATGCTGAGACAACAGATGTAAATCAGAGGGAGGGTCTGGTTATCCTGGCCAATAGCCAGTTGGTGAAAGAATGGATAACTTGTGCTTTGTCCTCAGATTTTCTGTGAGACAGTGGTGAAAGGAAGACATTTCACTCTATATTAACTTTTTGTACTTTATGAATGTTAAGCATGGCAATGTATTGATTTTATAATATATGAGACAAAATTTTTAAATAAAACAAATACACCAATACAATGAAAAACTGAGAAATAATACGATGAACTAAAAAGTCAGAAAGGTTATAATTCAAGCTTGCCAACCAGTCTCTTTCCTCTGTACTCTTAACTTCTTTAAGCCTGTTTCCTCATCTATAAAAAACAAAACAAAACAAAACAAACAAAACATTCTTTCACCAACTGGCTATTGGCCAGGATAACCAGACCCTTTAATTCTCAAAATGGTCCTGATTTGAATGACAAATTAACAGTCCTTGCACTACTGCTAGCTAACAAACAAGATGTTCTCCTTTAGGCCCAAAAGACCTGCGTTTCAATTTATTGTTTCTTTTGATATATTCTCTCAGATACCTATCACCAAATCTATTTTGTCCCCAACAGATTTCCATTGTCCTTCAGACTCTGCTTTTTCTTCCTTTCTCCCAGAGAACATATCACTGATTTTTCTTTCTTTTTTTTCAAAAGAGATTATCTTATTTCTCAAGTCATATTTGTTTTTTCTCTTGATAGTGAGTTTTCTCCTAGATCAAACTTCCCTCTTGTACTCCCTTAACCTCCCAAGTGAAAACCTGGGGGCAGAGAGAGGAATGCCCCCTCGTGCTAATTATTTGTTTAAAATTCAACTATGGCATGTTATATGCAGATTCATTGCTGGCTCATCCGTTGGCCAGCATTGGCATGAATTCAACCAGTTACTTGGCTACTTAACATAAAACAGAACAGGCAGAAGGAGATACAGGAGAAACACTGGAGACAGAATTAGGCTAGCAAACTTTATAGGCTAGTTTGCCACCTAAAATACAACCAGTTGGCCAATGGTCTTCTATTGTTAATAACTAATGTCTATGAAGAGTCACACCATTCTAGGGTGAAAAGAACACAAAGATGGAAAAACTTAGGTTTTAGCTTAAATTTTATCACTAATTATTTGTTTTACTGTAGAGGAGCTTTTACTTCTAAGTTTCTATGGACCTTAATTTCTTATTGCAGATAGTATAATAAAGAGACTATAAAGTATATTATCTCAAAAATGAACTACTTATAAAATTACATTATTCTAAATTTTTAAAAATTAGACTTATTAGTACCTATTAACTATAGGCTTCCAAACTTCTGAAAAGCACATCTACACACACATATGTGTTATGTATCTCAAGTGGGTAACATAACTAACATGGTCAGAAGTGAGTGAGGTACTGAATTCTGAAACTGTGTCATTAGAGTACATGGAAGTTCCTGCCCTCAGTAGACTCTGCTATCACATCTGAATGTGACCTTTGTACTATTTGGTGGCATTTTGAAATTTGACCTGCCAGCATTACACCTTGTTACAAATAGCCACATGTTTTTCCGTGTTGTCATTTTACCTGCTCCATTAGCCTCTATTCCTCAAACAAGGGGAACCAAACCCAAAACATCACATCATGAATCAGAAGGGTTGTAATCAACATGTATAAACACTTTCGCAAAAGGAAAGCATTCTTTGAAATTTTGAGGATCCAAAACTATACTCCATAGAGCCAAGACATAGTCAAGGGGTATTGGGATCCCTGGCCTGAGACTGTACTGCATTCATTTCTATTCGCATTTCACTATTCCTCAGTTACAACAGGGAGCAAATATACTAACATAATTAAGAAGTAACCATAGCCCAGCTGGTGTGGCTCAGTGGTTGAGCATTGACCTTTGAACCAAGAAGTCATGGTTTGATTCCTGGCCAGGGCACATGCCCAGATTGTGGGCTTGATCCCCAGTGTGGAGCCTGCAGGAAGCAGCCAATCAATGATTCTCTTGCATCACTGATGTTTCTATCTCTCTCTCTCTCTCTCTCTTCCTTCCTCTCTGAA